ATAAAGCAACAACACATTCCGGATTGTTATTGCTGCGTCTGCGCGAAAACAATACGTTGGCATTGGCAGGGATAATGCTAAGTATGCCTCACAATAATGATGTGCGTGGTGTCCTCGTGTGCTCTGGATTTAACATAGGAAGTCACGGTCCTGGCCAATTGTTCTGTTAAAGCCTTCCCCGTGCAGACGCAGGTGTTGTGCGTAGCGTGACGTAGCCTCATTCAAATTAAGAATCGCTCTCTACGCGTTCGCCGGCGCGTGTTTAGCAATCATCGGGCGCGCGCAACGCGTGATCAACAGCATCACCAGCTACATCCACTGCTGGATGAAGGCCTCTCCAAATCGCCGCCACTACCCATCACGATCCTGTGATGTAATAATCCACCCAGCATCTGCGCATTGACTGATTTCATCGCTCCATCTCCTCGATGGATGTGTTCCCGGATACGTTGCATTCCTTGGCTAAGACTCCGTTATTATTCCTGACCATCGGTCATCAACCATCGCTTCTTTACGCGACGTGGTCTGCCCATGACCACGTTTCTTATCAATTTCAACAATGTCATCGACATGGGTATGTCAATGACATGCGTATGTTCTCTAATCCATATGTTCCTATTGCTGCCTCTCAATGTATTTTCAAGCACGCAGCATGTAACAGACTCAAATTAATATTGGATCGGAGCATATTGGTAAACGTGGAAAGTCGTCAACTCTAATGACATCTGGAGGAGCTGTGATTTTTGGAAACCCAGGCTCTCCAGCACCAACCCACACACGCGAGACCAGGGCTCAATTTCTCACCGAATATTCTCTCGCTCATTGGTATAACTTGGGTAAGTTTCACGTGCCGAGTAGCCACAGCCATAGCGAGATGCGGTGGTGTTCCGGGTGCGGAAAAGCATCTTAAACCCGGCTGAGATTAGGTCTCCTGCTTGTGACTCATTGCGTGCTCGCGAGAAACACGTGGCGGCCTCTAGAACGTGACTCAATGGAGGTCGCACGTGCGTACGCACATACACGTGTGAAGGTCCGACTGACTCTTCATTCCCTCGTGATTAGCAACGCCAGCTGCTTGATCTGTTCTGTCTCTTTGCCAAAACAAACACATACACGTGTGTGTGTGTGTGTTCCGGGGCGTGCGTGTCTACTACGTACGTGTGCATCATTCCGGTGACTTGGAGGCGATTGTGGTCTTTTTTGGTGTGAGAAGAGTCTCGTTAAATTGTCCCAGGACAATGTCCAATGCCGAGTGTGTCTTGCAGAGACAATGGAAGGGACGTGGGTGCATTCGCGCGAGCCTGATCCTCTCTGTTTCTTTAGCTCATAGTGAATACGAGAGAGTGCGCAAATTCGTCCTGAATGGTTATGCCATAGCCCACATCACGGCAGCGTATAGGTATGCGTACTAACGTAAGTTGATGGGTTGCGAAATAGCTAGGTGGGCGGGACAGTGGTTAGGTGGGTAGATAGGATGGTAATTATGTGGGTGGGTATCTACGTAAGTGGGTGGGTAGATAGGGAAATATGTGTGTTGGTGAGTAAGAACATAATTAGGTGGGTGGATAGGTAGGTCGGTAAGTAGGTGGGAATGTAAATATGTGGGTTGGTGGGTAAGTAGGTAGCTAGCCGGGTGGGTGGGTAGGTCAGTAGGATTGTGGATATTGTGGGTAATTAAAATGTTAGGCAGCTTGGCAAATCTTGAGTAGGTCAGTCAATAGGTTGATTGATGAGTGTAGTAGGTAAGCAAGTGGTAGAAAGGTGGGTAGGTATATAGTCGGTTAGATAGGTGGGTGGGGAAGTGGGTAGAAATTATATAAATGAATTGATATCTAAGTCGAAAAGTGAGTGGGTAAGTAGGTAATTAGGTGGATACATGGGTGGTTCCATATCCCTGTCAATATATAGATGGGTTGGTATATAAATAAGCAGGTAGATATTGCGGCAGGTGGGTTTGTAGGTCAGTAGGTACATTGGCGGGTAGGTGGATTGGTAGATAAGTAGGTAGATGTGAAGGTATGTGGGTTGGTAGGTAAGTAGGTAGATGTGAAGTTATGTGGGTTGGTAGGTAAGTAGGTAGATGTGAAGGTATGTGGGTTGGTAGGTAAGTAGGTAGATATGAAGGTATGTGGGTTGGTAGGTAAGTAGGTAGATGTGAAGTTATGTGGGTTGGTAGGTAAGTAGGTAGATGTGAAGGTATGTGGGTTGGTAGGTAAGTAGGTAGATATGAAGGTATGTGGGTTGGTAGGCAAGTAGGTAGATGTGAAGGTATGTGGGTTGGTAGGTAAGTAGGTAGATGTGATGGTATGTGGGTTGGTAGGTAAGTAGGTAGATGTGAAGGTATGTGGGTTGGTAGGCAAGTAGGTAGATGTAAAGGTATGTGGGTTGGTAGGTAAGTAGGTAGATGTGAAGGTATGTGGGTTGGTAGGTAAGTAGGTAGATATGAAGGTATGTGGGTTGGTAGGTAAGTAGGTAGATATGAAGGTATGTGGGTTGGTAGGTAAGTAGGTAGATATGAAGGTATGTGGGTTGGTGGGTAAGTAGGTAGATATGAAGGTATGTGGGTTGGTAGGTAAGTAGGTAGATATGAAGGTATGTTGGTTGGTAGGTAAGTAGGTAGATATGAAGGTATGTGGGTTGGTAGGCAAGTAGGTAGCTGTGAAGGTATGTGGGTTGGTAGGTAAGTAGGTCGATGTAAAGGTATGTGGGTTGGTAGGTAAGTAGGTAGATGTAAAGGTATGTGGGTTGGTAGGTAAGTAGGTAGATATGAAGGTATGTGGGTTGGTAGGCAAGTAGGTAGATGTGATGGTATGTGGGTTGGTAGGTAAGTAGGTAGATATGAAGGTATGTGGGTTGGTAGGTAAGTAGGTAGATGTGAAGGTATGTGGGTTGGTAGGTAAGTAGGTAGATGTGAAGGTATGTGGGTTGGTAGGTAAGTAGGTAGATATAAAGGTATGTGGATTGGTAGGTAAGTAGGTAGTTATGAAGGTATGTGGGTTGGTAGGTAAGTAGGTAGATATGATGGTATGTGGGTTGGTAGGTAAGTAGGTAGATGTGATGGTATGTGGGTTGGTAGATAAGTAGGTAGATGTGAAGGTATGTGGGTTGGTAGGTAAGTAGGTAGATGTGAAGGTATGTGGGTTGGTAGGTAAGTAGGTAGATATGAAGGTATGTGGGTTGGTAGGTAAGTAGGCAGATATGAAGGTATGTGGGTTGGTAGGTAAGTAGGTAGATGTGATGGTATGTGGGTTGGTAGATAAGTAGGTAGATGTGAAGGTATGTGGGTTGGTAGGTAAGTAGGTAGATATGAAGGTATGTGGGTTGGTAGGTAAGTAGGCAGATATGAAGGTATGTGGGTTGGTAGGTAAGTAGGTAGATGTGAAGGTATGTGGGTTGGTAGGTAAGTAGGTAGATGTGAAGGTATGTGGGTTGGTAGGTAAGTAGGTAGATGTGAAGGTATGTGGGTTGGTAGGTAAGTAGGTAGATGTGAAGGTATGTGGGTTGGTAGGTAAGTAGGTAGATGTGATGGTATGTGGGTTGGTAGGTAAGTGGGTAGATATGAAGGTATGTGGATTGCTAGGTAAGTAGGTAGATGTGAAGGTATGTGGGTTGGTAGGTAAGTAGGTAGATGTGAGTGGGGAGGGCTGGTCACCCCGTGGTGCCCTTATAAAACTCAACGTTTAACCTACTCACGCTTGTGCCCGCCCTCACAGTCGAGCATATTTGCGGAATACACCACGCCACCGTTGACCCTGGCCATTGACCGAGCAACCCAACGTTCCTACCAGCTCCCTCCGCAGGAATGTGCTTGTGTACAATATCGTTTTTAAGCGAGTTTCATGTGTTCGTAAGACTTTTCCATATTTACATTTTACGTACTATATCATCATCAGCGATGCTCAATTCACTGCTGAATGAAGGCCTCTCCAATCCGCCGCCATCTCTCACAACCCTGCGATGTTCATGATCCACCTGGTACCTGCACAATAACATATTTAGTGGCTCCATCCCCCTGCCACACGTCTTCTCGGATGCCGTTCCATCCATTCCGTGGCTGCCACTCCGTGATTGCTCGTGACCGTCAGCCACGTGTCCTTCTCGATCTCGACTTACCTTTTTTTTAAACAGGTGAACTCTGCCATTACACCGCGTGTGCTCTCCAATCCACGTGTTCCACTTTATAGCTCTCAATGTAATTCCAAGCGTGCGTCTCTCCCCCATGCTCCTTTGCGCAGTTTTCAGATTTTTATTCATTTATAATTTTCGTTATTTGCCGTGTGTCCGAACTAGATATATATATCTCCATGTGTATTTCTCTGTATCAGTATTAATACTGTGTCACGTTGTCGTCGGAATAGAACTTCCATTTAAGCGGTAAATTGGTTCTGAACGCCATTCGTAATGTAACAAATAATTTTGTGATGCTGTTGCTGCGTGGACAGTGGTGTACGACCACTAATAACACACGCAACCTCAACACATTCGCAATAACAACGCTGTCTGTGTGGCCTCAAAATACGCAAAATAATAGGAGGCGACGTTTCAGGCAATGGTCCTTATTTGTGGCACCTGAAAAAGGGCCCGGAACGACGTGTTAATGCCTGATAGGTCACATATTAAATAAATAGATGATTATTATCGCTTTAAAGCCACAGTGTTATTGAATAATGTGTTGAGTTTTAATTGTTATTGCGAAATTTAGGAACAATTAATGCCATGTGTATAAGTGTGGTGATACAGTGCGTGTGCATTTAAAGTAATTTGCTATAGTTTTGGAAACCACGTGGGGTTACCAAAACAAACGCGCATTTTTTAAAACGAAAAAATATTCAACAAACATTCGCACAATGTTTAAACAAACCGATAGATTATTTTGAAATATTTAACCCAATGAACTAGTCCCGATGACACGATACGGCCTTGGCCACAGCTTTAAATTGACATTACATCTAAATGTGTACGTTTGTAATCCGTGACAATGTAGTAATATCTCATTACAGGCCGGGCAATATCAGAAACAAGAAAAACATCTCTCTTTACAAACGAGACAACATGTCCGGTGAGAACATGATGTGCTAGCGTGTGTGTCCCTGTTCACGTGTGTCCCTGTTCACGTGTGTCCCTGTTCACGTGTGTCCCTGTTCACGTGTGTGTACCTGTTCATGTTTGTGCGTGTTAGTGTGTGTGCGTGTTATTGTGTGTGCGTGTTAGTGTGTTTAATGTTTGTGTGTATACAGCACACAAGAGCGTTATATTTGTTTGTCCTCGATGCCAGACGTCGCCGGGAGAGATATCGTGTCTGAACCTGGCTCGATTCTCCCCGTGGTTAACCCATTTTTCGTGTTAACGTGTTAACCTCTTGCGGCGTTGTGGTCCTGCACATCAACATCGCTCGCTACGCCCCACATCGTTGCCCACAAGCGCGCGGGACACGCATGAGCCCCCCCTAAGGAGCCATCCATGCAGCAATCTGTCAAAACTTGAGCCCTCCCCCCCTCCTATACGCACGCGGACTATTTACACCCCCCCCCGCCGAATCCTATAGAACCGCCGATTATTAATCCACGCAGAAACGATCAAGGATTAATAATCTTAACGCGGTTAAGCAAACAGATAGTCCACCGCCGGACTAACTCATTTGAAGGCCGATGTAGACAAATTATTATCGAGGCTTCACCCCCCCCCCCGTTTCCTATGCGAACATTGTCAGTAGACCCCCCCCCCCCATACGCAAGCGAACATATTTGGGTAATTCATAATCAACGTTTTTGGGTTTATTTATAAATGTGTCGTAACCCTCCACCACCCCACACGGCCAATCAGTAAAAAAGTGTCACGTTGACAAAAGACAAATAGTTCACTGCTTTAGCCCACCGGTGTGTTGAAGCGTGAAACCACCACATTTACAATTTGAGTACGACGTTTCGCTGGTAATTGCATCCAGCATCATCGGGCAATTCGCCAACGTTAATTATGAATAATATTGGTCGCCAAAGCCTACGTGTATTTGGGTAGACCCCCCCCCTCCCCTCTCCATGCGTACGGACTCAATGGATGGCCCCTAAGAGGAGCTTGGCAAATGTGACCGTAACAGAGGGTTGGCCACATCGACGAAGCAGGAGCCGCCTGCAGCAAGTGTCTTGAGACTCGGTTAAAGCCCTCCGCGTTAAGGGCTATCGCAGACGACACCAGCAACTGCATCAATGCGCGAATCACTACGCCACCGCTCCCCACAAGTACAAAAAAATACAATGACAAAGATCCCCCGGATAGCCTTGGGCAAGTGCTGTTAGCGAGCACATATGAAGGCCGGCACGCACACGAGGGGGTGGGTGGCCACCACTACGCCCGACCGCCTTTGTTTCCCCAGTAGCGATGTTTACACACCGCACCAGGTACTCATTTGAGGCTGAGTCGACCTAAGGGAGGGTGTAGGACCGGTTCAGATAATTGTCGCCGGTGGTGACCGTGAGTGGGAATCGAACTCGGGTGGCCGGGTTCGCAGCGCAGCGTAGCGCTAACCGCTACGCCACCGCTCCCCACAAGCACACAACACAGACGCGCATACACGCGACCACACAGTACAAACACACACACACGTGTGCGTACACAAACACACACACACCGACGTGGGCACATGCATACACGCACACAACACTCATACAAGACAAATATCTCCGTGTACGGAGTCAGGCGCAGAGTCACGCGGAGACACACACGGAGACACTGAAACAAACGCACTCACACGACCACACTTGCAGAAACACACACACACCCGCATACTGGCACATACAGAGACACTGACACAGAGACAGGCACACAAAGACACAGACACACTGAACGAAGCAATTGTTTGTACTAGGTAATGCCCACTGAGTGATATAGCTCTTTTCCAGAAGCGATATGGCCAACGAAGTGGCTTACCACGTGGACATTTATAGCAGCCAAATACTTGAAACGCGCGTTGTCTCTAAATGTTGAAGGAAAAAACCAGAGGACACGGAGAAATACCCACGGAGAGAGGAAAACATGCAAACCCACGACCTCCTGTATACCAGCAGTCGAGGGAGTTAACATCTCGCCACCGTGACACTGACAGACACGCACAGATTCTGTGCCACACGTTCACACAAGTTCAAGTTTATTTATGTAAGCAGGTGAGAGCTCACGAGACTAGGATTGCCTCGTTTTCAAGAGTGACGCATTGACACACAATGGCACATACAGGGATAGAATGACAGACACACAGACGCTGACACATCGACACGTGACTGACACACAATGATGCACACTGATACACACATGATGAGATTCACACACGCACTCATACATTCTACAAAGTTCCCCCGCTGTTAGCGAGCACCTATGAAGGGCCTGCACGGCAAACGAGGGGGTGGGTGGGTGGGTATCACCACGCCTGACCGCTTTTGTCTCCCTTGTGGCGATGTTCACTCACCGCACCAGGTACTAATTTAAGGCTGAGTCGACCTTGGGGAGGCCCAGGACCAATTCAGATATTCGCCACTGTTACAGGTTGAGAGCGCAGTGTGCAAACCACTGCGCCACCACAGATAACATAATCACGCAATGATGTTCTCTCACACATCACACACAGAGACACACACACCGACATACACGCTCGGACACTCACACAGTGACACACGCACAGTAACACACGCACAGACACTCACACAGTGACACACGCACAGTGACACACGCACAGACACTCACACAGTGACACACACAGTGACACACAGTGACACACAGTGACGCACGCACAGACACTCACACAGTGACACACGCACAGTGACACGCACAGACACTCACACAGTGACACACACACAGTGACACACACACGCAAAGACACTCACACAGTGACACACGCACAGTGACACACGCACAGTGACACACGCACAGACACACGCACAGACACACACAGTGACACACACAGTGACACACACACAGTGACACAAACACACAGTGACACACAGTGACACACGCACAGACACTCACACAGTGACACACGCACAGACACACGCACCTACACCTCTGGACAGCCTCGACTCCACTCCCTTCCTGTTTTTAAGCGCCAAGAGCATTGTTTGGGATCGGCTTCTCTGGAATTACGCGACGCGGGGTCACACAATGAACAATGTGTTTCCGGCGATCTGTCTCGAGTCCCCCGCCCGACAAGACACACACACACAGTGACACACACAGTGACACACATACACAGACACACACAGTGACACACACAGTGATACACACACAGTGACACACACAGTGAGGCACACACAGTGACACACACAGTGACACACATACACAGACACACACAGTGACACACACACAGTGACACACAGTGAGACGAGGGGTTCATAGTGACACACACAGTGACACACACACAGTGACAAACACACAGTGACACACACACAGTGACACACACACAGTGACACACACAGTGAGACACACACAGTGACACACACAGTGAGACACACACAGTGACACACACAGTGAGACACACAGTGACACACACAATGATACACACAGTGAGACGAGGGGTTCACAGTGACACACACAGTGACACACACAGTGACATACACAGTGACTGGAGGGGCTCACAGTGACACACACATTGACGCACAGAACATACAGCAACACACACAGTGACACACACAGAGTGACACACACACAGTGACACACACACAGTGACACACACACACACAGTGACACACACACAGCAACACACACAGGGTGATGCGTGGGACGATGTTATCAGGTGAAGACAATGTTCAGTATCCAGAACGTACGGACAGATGTCAAGCTGATGAGTACGATTAGGATCATGATTATCTATCAATGACGATCATTATATTTATCACGATTCTTCCGTAATGATAAGAACAGTATACCTATTCAGAACTGACGATGATCCTCCGACGATCATTGTGATGATTCAGTAATGGTCATTATCATCACGACCCTTCACAAATATTGATGATACAGCAGTACTGATGGTTATCATCGTGATAACCAATAATTTAGCATGATGACTGATGATTCAGACATGATAATTCTTATCGTCATGATGTCTTTATCGGTTATGGTGGTGATGATGATGATCACTATCATCCAGCAATGTCCAGTTCGTATCCCGGCCACGGCTAACATCAGTGGCGAGTGATCTTCCTTGCCACCTCGGCCCCATCAGCAACCCGCACTTACCAGCGTGGTGAAGTATGGTCAAACAACTCCCATAACCGACACAAAATAGGGAGGAGGCCTTCAATACAGCTGCAATTATTTTCTTTATTATAGGTGACAGTTTAGGTGTCAAAACTTGGCCCGGGTATTAAACAACCAGGACAGACACTCTCACGCACACAGACACACACACAGGCTCGCACATACAGACCTACTCAAAGACAAAGCTCCCCCGTATAGCCTTCACAGACTGTTGGTGCAAGTGCTGTTAGTGAGTAGCACCCATGAAGGCCGGCACGGCACACGAGGGGGTGGGTGGCCAACATCACGCCCGTCCGACTTTATCTCCCCAGTGGCGATGTTTACACACCAGGTACTCATTTGAGGCTGAGTCGACCTAGGGAAGGCCCAGGACCGGTTTAGATAATCGTCACTGGTGTTGGCCGTAAGCGGCAATCGAACTACGCACACACACACAAACACACACGCAACGCTATAGACATTCCAACCGGATGAAGTTGTCTGTAAATTTGTGCTTTAAAAAAAAAAACATCTCCCCGCATTCCAGGTGTGTCTGTGGCTGCGGCCGGGCACCGCAGCGCCAGCATCTGCACGCGAAGCATCTCGCCGCGTCGGAATATCGCAAAGCTCAGCAGGAGTGAGCCTGGACAGTGTTTATAAAGACGGTCAGCAGGCGTTGAGCGCAGTACAAGCAAACCACTGCCCCCCCCCCGCCTTCACCAATCCGCTGTGAGCAGCGTGGTGAAGTCTGGTAATAAATATAGCCCGTGGCCTGAAAACCATAAGGAGTTCCTCTTCCAGCAGTGGAGTTACAAAGTGCTGTAAGTGGTTATTGTCATACAGTATTTTTTATAACTGCAATTATCAATAATCTGGAGGCTTTTGCGCTTGCACACAGCTTATAAATAACAACCATGGTGTCAAATTAAATTAAAACAGTCTATGCTGAAGTGTTTGCGCAACAATGGTAATAACAAGCTACGTAAAAATAAAAAATAAGTGGTTATTTTAGAGTCGCTAAGAAGAAAATATTATCTTAATGAGCAAAGCTACGAGGCTGTAGAAATGATAATATTATTATGCATAGTAATGGCCTTTTTAGAGGAAATAATCTCACTTTTTAGAGGAGATTGTGGCTACAATTGGGAAGAGAGGCCAATTCCAATGAATGAGCGAGTGGATGGTCGCTCCATCCAGCAGTAGATCGACAATGGTGACAACTTATCATTAATGCCGAGTGCATCAAATCGACATCAAAGGACCTCAGTTTAACACATAGGTTTCCGTGACCAATATCATCCATAATATAGCTTTTTTTGGGGTTCGCGTAAATATGCATGCGTCGTTCAACCCGCCACAGCCAATTAGTAAGGTTTGTTACGTAAACAGAACATGGCAATTCGTTTCTAGTACTGCACACCGGTGTGTTGGAGAGCAAGGCCACATATTGTGTACTCAGATTGTAAATGTTGTGGCTTGGCTCTCCAACACACCGGTGTGCTGTACTAGTGACGAATTGGCACGTTCTGTTGACGTGACAACCTTACCCTGCTGCTGCTGCTCTGTTTAAGACCGGAAGCAACAAGAGAGCTTCACCATTCTTGCCCGATGAAGCTGATTGTAATTATCAGCGAAACGCCGTACTACTCAAATTATATGTTGATTCTCTCTTCAACACACCGGTGGGCTAAAGAAGTGAATTATTTTGTCCTTTTTAAAAACGTGACACATTTTTTACTGTTTGGCCGTGTCGGGTGGTGGAGGATTACGACACATTTAAAAATAACGCGATCTGACCCAAAACCTATATTATGAATAATATTGGTCGCGAAAGCCTACGTGTTAAATTACTAATATCGGCTGTGTCGGGTGGTGGCGGGTTTAGCGACACATTTATATTTATACGATCACACCCAAAAAAAAACCTATTATGGATCAAAGGACCTGTGGATATTGGGTGGTGTCCCCTCGTGCGTGTGGGTTTCCTCGGGATACTAAGCGGTCCTCCCACGAGCATCCTCACTCAACACGGAATTAGTCAAATTGCAGGACCTTCTTGAAAACGAGTCTTGAGATTCAGTGAAGCTTCCCTGGCTCACTAACGACCATTCTTACGATTAATGTTGTAACTTATGACAGCAGGATTACTCTTTTCGATGGAGTGGTGGCGCAGTCGTTAGCGCGCTGCACTGTGATTCAGGCCACCCGAGTTAGATTCCTAGCCACGGCTTTGAACGGTGGCGAGTTACATCTGAACCACTCACCCCCCTCCTCCTCCTCCTCGTCACCAACCCGAGCTGACCAGCGTGGTGAAGTATGGTAAAGCAACCCGCTCAGCCGACACAACACGGGGAGGTCTTCGTCCAGCAGTGGATTGTTAAAGGGCTGTACACTCACATTCTCACGGCACGCATTTCAGTTGCCCCTGAGCGACTGCAAATATCCTGACCCCGTCTTCCACTCATCCCTGATTCGATGCCTTACTCCACATAACGCGCTGTCGCCGAACAAAACGGGTATTTAATCAACTTGCTGTGCATATGTTTAATGTACGGATATGAATACGACCCGTGTTGTCAGTGGGTGGCTTTTATCAGTAACACCGGGGAATCCATTGGGAAGCGTTTATCTAGTCAGACCCCCCCCTCCCCCACCGATTGTTGAGACTCACAGACATTGAAACCGGTTTAAGGGATTGACGCGCGTTACGACACTTTCCGGTTTACGCTCCGGAGGGCCGTGAGACTGGAGACTGCTAAACTAATAAAAATGCACTCAGAGTTATTTTCAAATTGTGTCTGTGGAGCGGACTCTGTCGGCCGAAAGATTCCGAAAAACAAACCCGAAACTCCGATGTTGAGTCCAACGCACGGGAGCGAGAGAGTGACGCAGTTCCCTTTGACCGGGACTCATCAGCAAGCCATGCTCACTAAGCTGTCGGTATTTCCCAGGCAAGCAATAATACGCCATAGAGCCATATACCAAAGCCGTACGTTTTAAAAGGGGGCCCGTATACAGAGAGAGAGAGGCATCACACACACGGGCACGCCTCTAGAGGTGTCGCAGCCACGCTACCGCGTCCCCAGTAGCGAGACAATTTACGGCTGAAGTTGTAAAAATGTACGCGGCGGTCCCCGCTCACCACCGAGCGCTTGTAAAACTCCGACTGTAACGGGTCGTTTCGGCCCTGCGTCAAGTAACCCGGCCTGCAATTAACCCAAACTGCGCGCTTTGTTTACGCGCGGCGAGCGGTGGCACGGCGGTTGGCGCACTGGCCGCTACGAGCCCCGGACGCACCTGAGATCGATTGCTGGCGGCCGCGGGGACCGAAGCTCGTGCAGTGACGAGCGATGATCGTGAACGAAGCTCGAAGCGGTTTTAGTCGGGGAGTGTTCATGGCGCCGTGTGTACAGCAATCAGCACATCGGCACCGGGGAGAGATGAAGGCGGCCGTGAGTAGCGCGACTGCCTTACCACCCCCCACCCCCCCACCCCTCCCCCCGTGCGCCGTGACCCGGCCCTTAATAGGTGCTCGCTGACGGCGCGAGCCCAAGTGCGTTGTGTGCGTGCGTAAACGGATGAGAAACTCGCGGTGTCATAAGTCAACGACTCAAAGTGCTTTATGTAAAGAAGGAACGAATCCAGTTCATAGACTACCTGTATAATTAGTTCCACAGTGGCACTTGATGCAGTCACTAACATACTTATTTATTAATTCGTGTTGAATTCTTCATCGTTATCAGCATCATCATCATAATTTAACTTGTATGCAGCATAAAGCGCGTGTCGAATTGATGGCAATGAGGATTTATGTTACGCATTACTGGCTTTATCATCATCACAACGCCGCAATGCAGGTGATCATTTGTCGAATTAAAGATAATCGTGGCCATTATGAATGACAACTCATCGTCATTAAGTTCGTCGTATTATCGTGGCGCCGAACGCGACCAGGATCATCTCCCCCCGTCACCGTCGACTTTGCGTGCAACGAATGTCGCGTGTCAGAGACGATGCTGGCGACGAGACGTTTCCAATCAAGCAGCAACGACTTAACGATGATGCATTACAAAATAAACGATCGTCACAGTCGTGGGGGCGATGATGATGATGATGGTCATGAATTTAACACAATGTACATCAATCGTCGTCATCAAAATTGTATGCAACGTAGCTCGCGTGTTCATTTATGATGATGACGACGACGATAGTTTAATATCAGGCGACACAACACAGGAACATGGCTCATTTCACAAGACCACTAAAGTCAAAGAGTGCACGGGCTGCGTAAGCATTATGTGTCCGACTGCCATAAATGCGTCAACGATATCTTAATGATCTTTTAACAATTGTAAAAACAAAACGGACACAGTTTGTAATTGTGTATGCCCAGCTGCTGAGAAGATCATCCTCATTTCAAAACCCCTCTTCTGCTTTAGCCTCGATGACAGGGGCAGATGAACGCCGCAGTCTTGAGTAGTGCACGTCGCGTTATCAACACGCAGCCTCGTATTTACATTACCAATATATTAATTAGAGAACGTCATCTCACGCGCGATAAACTTTACATCTTTATATATATATAATATATATAGCTTATACAAGGGCGCTCGTAGGGCCACGGTTCTGTATAATAATTATATGTACACACACGTGCTTAGCCTCCTGTGTAAGCCCGGACAAAGTATCCGTAGAGTTAGGGGGGGGGGGGGGTTCTCTCGCTGTCACGCAGTGGCCCCGCTGTGGGGTTAGTCATTGTCATGGTCCGTTCATGGTGTAGCACTACATTCAGTTAGCCACCACCACCACCACCACTCCACTCTCTGCCTACCCGCTCCCCTCGGCTCGCACTGCTTTTGCGTGCATCATCCAACGTCTTGGACTCGTGTACTGACGACCACTTACTGCGGTGGACAGATATCGCCCAGGTTGTCTCCAGGAAGACTCGTCTTCCACGTCTATTTGAGTCCCCAGGTAGACACACGTAGAATCGCCGTCCAGGTAGACCGTATTCCCCAGGTCCACTGAATTCCACGCAGACTCGTATCTCGGAGAATTACAAATACACTGGTTCCAGGTAGAATGCAGTTGCGTGTAGACTCGTGCTACGGGTATGCCCAAGGTCGATCAAAGTCTCAAGTAAACGTATTGTACAGATTAACCCAGGTAGACTCGCATCTCGGACAGACCCAGGTAGACTGGAATTCCAGGTAGACTCGTATCCCGGTTTGAACCCAGACAGTCCCAGGTAGACGGGTCACACGTGTGCCAGACGCACCTGTAGAGGATGGGGCATCCCCACGTGCCCCATCGCAGTCCTTCCACTCACTCCCCGCTCCGGGAACAACGCGTGCCGCACCGAACTGGCGGCAGAGCTTGTTGCTGACGAATGCTGCTGCTGATGCAGCTGCTGCTGCTGATGCTGCTGATGCTGCTGCTGGTGGTGGTGATGTTGATGGTGCAGGTGCGCGCTAGACATCAGGGTCTGCTGTCCACTTCCCTGCATCTGCAGTGGGTAGTGGAGATGCTGCTGTTGTTGCTGCTGTTGTTGCTGCTGTTGTTGCTTGTTGTTGCTGCTGCTGTTGCTGCTGGTGATGGTGGTGATGGTGGTGATGCATGAGCGGTTGGCTTTGCGGCACGTGCGTGGTGGTGACGCCGCGTAACGCCGCGGGGCCACCACCGGACGAGGCGGCGGTGACCGTGGAAGTGGTGGTGGTGGTGGCTGCTGCTGCGGCAGCGGCACCACCACCACCGACAGCCCCAGCGGTACCACCGCCGCCACCTCGCTTGCTCCTGCCTCGCGAGCAGCAGCGAGAGCAGAGCCGCTTCCACGAGTCGAGCGTCTTGGCCGACCAGATCCACACGCCCGACGTGATGCCTGCCACCAGGCACATGAAGTACTTGAGCATGAAGACGGCGAAGGCGGGCCGCTCTCGCTGCGCCTCGGGCACGCAGTCGCAGTTGTGGGCCCTCTCCCACGCCTCGCGGTGGTGCTGCTCGTAGAAGTAGCAGCCCACCAGCACGGCGGCCGGCAGCGTGTAGAGCACTGTGACCACGCCGATGCGCAGCATCAACTTGTCCAGCTTGTCCGTCTTCTTGCCACCCTGCTTGATGACGCTCCTGATGCGGAACAGCGACACGAATCCGGCCATGATGAACATGACGCCGATGAGGAGGTAGACCACCATCGGGGCGAGCACGAATCCACGGAGCGTGTCCAAGCTCTGGTTGCCCACCGAGCAGATGCCGGCCACGGGGTCTCCGTCCACGGAGCTCATGGCGAGGATGGCGATGGACTTGACGCTGGGCAGAAGCCAGGCAGCCATGTGGAAGTACTGCGAGTAGGAGGCGATGGCCTCGCTGCCCCACTTGAGGCCGGCAGCCAGGAACCACGTGAAGGAGAGGATGACCCACCAGATGGAGCTGGCCATGCTGAAGAAGTACGTGAGCAGGAAGACAGTGGTGCAGAGCGCGGGCCCCGTGGTCTCGTAGAGCACGTGGCGCCGCTCGGGCTCGCGGCTGCACGCCACGCCGTCGTGTCCCGCCACGAGACGCACGATGTAGCCCAGCGACACGAAGAGGTAGCACGACGAGATGAGCACGATGGGCCGCTCCGGGTACTGGAAGCGGCTCACGTCGATCATGAAGGTAAGCACCGTGGTGAGACTCGCGAAGAAGCACGCCACCGACCAGAGGCCGATCCACAGCGATGCGAATGTCATCTCCTCGGCGCTGAAGTAGGGGCTGTGGCACGGCATGGCGCAGTTGGGCACCACCATGCCGACGCGAGCCTTGTTGTGCAGCGGGTGTCGCTCGCTCGTGATGGGCACCATCGGAGCCTTGCAGGAGCAGCCGCGGTCGCAGCGCTGCTCCCCGCGGATCGTCTTGGCGCCCCTGGGCTGCGGCGTCGGCTTCACCGCCAGCGGCCTCCTGGTGGTGGTGGTGGTGGTGCTCGAGCCGCCGGCGCCTTGCTCGGTGCGGTTGTCGTCCATGCACAGGTTGGAGGAGTCGCCTTGCGCGGGCAGGCGGTCGCAGTTCATGCGGTCGGGCCACGCGAATCCGTACTGGCGCATGAGCGGCGCGCAGCCGGCCTTGGCCCTGTCGCACACCGCGCGACAAGGCGGCAGCGGCTTCCTGTAGTCGTGCAGGCAGATCGGAGTGTACATGCTGCACAGGAAGAAGAGCAGGTCGGGCGAGCAGTGGATTTCCACGAGCGGCCAGAACTGGTGCACCTCGAGGCCGGCCTCGTCCTGCGAGTCGTGGTTAAACGCGTTGGGCATGTACGTCTGGTTGTAGCCGATGCCCTTGCACATGGGCACGGAGATCTCCTGGCACACCAGCTCCTTGCACGAGGCTCGGAGGGGCCACCTGGCCAGGCAGCACGCGGCCACCACGGCCACGCAGAGCCACCGCGGCGCGCCGCGAAGCGAGCCATGCGCCATCGTGGCGGCGGCCTCGCAGAGTTGAATCTTGATTTGAGTTGGGTTGGTCGAGATCACGAGGATGACGATGATGATGGCACAGGCGCGGGTGACTAGGAGCCTATTGTGACGGTAATGATGGTGGTGGTAGCGGTGGTGGTGATGTAGGCACAGGTGTGAGCGGGTGTGAGTTTGGGATGATGACGGTGGTGGCGGCGGTGGTGATGGTGGCTCTGGTGTGAGTGACTAAGAGCCCGGGATGGTGGTGGCGGCGGTGATGATGGTGGTGGTGGTGACACGGGGTGCGCTCTCGCGTGTGCGCGATGCCAGCCGACAATCGGTCAGCGACTCCACCGAGTTTGTTGTCGCTGCTGCTGCTGTTGTTGTTAAAGCCCTGGGCGTTCGTGCCGCTGCTTCTGTCGTCGATGACAGTGACGGCGGCGGTGGGCCAGTAGCAGACTTGAGTCGTGCCTGCGCGTGTCTTCCTGTCCCTTCGCTACGTCGATGGTCCACGTACGGGCGGGAGACCGGTCCTGATGCGCTCACCTTGCCATCAGGTGCTCGGTACGTGTATCGGGTGCGGTACGTGTATCCCCGCGTGCCTCACCTGTACCTGGCTGCTGCTGCTGCTTCTACCGCAGGAGTGACACGGCCACCACACCTGTGTCGCCCAGGTGTGTCGAAGGAGTCACACTCGATAAGTCACTTCCCGGCAGTCGGTGGCCATGCCGCCTCGGCTGCTCCAGTCCACGCTTCGTTGATTTCCCAGCGCAGGTGTGTCCAGCATCATCTTCGCGTTAGACGACACTCATCGTCGTTCGGTCAAATGCGTACTACTACTACAACAGCAGCCGCAGCAGCTTCAACTCTAAGGAACAAGTTGCGCCGGTAAATACGCCGTGCCGCGTGCGTCTTGCAAGCGAGTCGGCGAATCGTCCCGCGAGGCGACGTCTCGCCGTGCCTCCGACTTCTCGTCGCCGGGCGGTGCGAGCCGGGCTCTGCGGAGACTCCACACAGAGCACACGGGAGAGCGAAGAGAGAGAGAGAGCAAGAGAGAGAGAGGCTGTCACTGACAACGCAATCCAGGGTCCGTCCCTCTCCGAGCACCTTTGGACAGAGAGAGAGCGAGAGCCCCCGGTGCGATTGTGGGGGTGGGAGGGGGGTGGGCTTGCGATGCGAGGAGGGACGGGCGCGCGTGTGTGTGGGTGTGTGGGTGTGTTTGCGGGTGTGTGGGTGTGTGTGTGGGTGTGTTTGTGTGTGTGGGTGTGTGCGGTAACGCCCGCTTTGCGTGTCTCCGTGCGTGTGTGTGTGTCAGTTGTGTGCGTGTCTGTGTAGGGAGCGGTGGCGCAGCGGTTAGCGCAGGGGCGATACAAACCACGGCGGTCCGAGTTCGATTCCCGCTCACGGCCAACATCAATGACACTCATCTGAACCGGTCCTGGGTTCTCTCCTAGGTCGACTCAGCTTCAAATGAGTACCTGGCGCGGTGTGTAAACATCGCCACTGGGGAGACAAAGGCGGCCGGGGGTAGTGTTGGCCACTCCACCCCATCGCGTGCCGTGCCGGCTTTCATAGGTGCCCGATAAAAGCACTTGCTCCACAAGTGTGTGCAGGCTATACGGGGGATCTTTGTGTGTGTGTGTTTTTGTGCCGGCCGTCATAGGTGCTCGCTAAAATCACTTGTCCTAAAAGTGTGACAAGGTTCTATGTGGGATCTCTGTGTGTGTGTCTGTCTGTGTCTGTGAGTCTGTGTATCTACGTGTGTGTGTGTCTGTGTTCGCGAGTGTGTGTCTTTGCGAGTGTGTGTGCACGTGTGTGTTATACGGTGTATATTTGTGTGTTTGAGTATAACCGTGTGTGTATATACATTAGTATTCTTGTGTATTTTGGCGTGTTGTGTGTGTGTGTTTTAGCTGTGCATCAGCGTTACTGCCTGTGTGCGCGTATTTGCGGTGGGTAAACATCAGTATGAGGGGGGAGACAAAGGTGGCGGGGCGTGGTGCCGGCCTTCGTAGGTGCTACTCGTCAACAGCACTTGCCCCAGCAGTCTGTTGAGGTTACACGGGGGGTCTTTGCCTTATCGCGTGTGTCAGCGTGAACGCGCGCGTGTTGCCCGGTGCCTGTGTATCTCTCTTACAGTGGTGGCGATGATGATGATATGAATAAAATAATTATTATTGTGGCGTTGCTTATTTATTTATTTGTCTCTTGTTTAGCGTTACGTGTAAAGCGAGGCAGGCGGCAGGAGAGTTGTAGCCCCCGAGGCTCTGAACGTGAGCCGGCCATTCAGCATTTCAGCATAGGCGTCCCTGGAGTGCGTGTGTGTGTATGCGTGAGTGTGTATGTGTGTATGTATGTATGTGTCAGTGTGTTTGTCATTGTGTCTGAATGTCTGTCTGAGTGAACAGCACTTGCCCCAACAGTCTGTGTAGGCCGTACGGTGGTGGGTGTGTTAGTCGGCGTGTGCGTTCGTGTGTTCATATGTTCGAGTGTTTTTTTAGTATGCGTGTGTGGGGGAGCGGTGGAGCAGCGGTTAGCGCGCTGCGATCTCGGCCACCCGAGTTCGATTCCCGATCACGGACAACACCAGTGACAATTATCTTAACCGGTCCTGGGACTCGCCTAGATCAACTCGGCCTCAAATGAGTACCTGGTGAGGTGCGTAGTAAACATCGTCACTGGGGAGACAAAGGCGGCCACGCGTGGTGCCGTGCCGGCGTTCGTAGGTGCTCGCTAACAGCACTTGCCCCAGCAGTCTGTTCGGGCTATACGGGGGATCTTTGTCTTGTTTGTCATTGTGTATATGTGTACCTGGGCCAGTGTGTGTCATGATGTTCGTGTGCTACTGTGTGTGTTTGTGTGTTGCGAGTGTGTGTCTGTCTGTGTGCGTGTGTCAATGTGTCTGTGAGGCTGTCTATGTGTTTTTGTGTGTCAATGTGTGTCAATGTGTTAGTATGTATGGGTTAATGTGTGTGTGTGTGTCAGTATGATTTTCAGTGTATCATTGTGCCTGTGAGTGTCTGCGAGTCTGTGTCTGTCTGTGAGTGTGTCAGTGCTTTTGGCCAGTGTGTGTGTGTGTGTTTAGTCAGTGTTTGTGTGTCTATTTGTAGGTTGGTCAATGTGTGCCTATCCATGTGACATTGTATCTACGTATATGTATCTACATGTCTGTGCGACTGTCCGCCTCTGTGTGTGCGTGTCCACGTGTCAATGTGCGTGTGTGTCACTGCGTGTCAGCGTGCGTCCTGTGTCCGCCCGTGCGTCCGCGTCGTTTTCTCGGTGTGGCTGTGAATCGATCTTCGTGCCACTGTGTCAGTCTCTCTCTCTCTCTCTGTCTGTCAGGAGCCCCAATTTGCCCACAAGCTAAATCTGGCGGCACCCTATGTTTGGCTTGTCAAATTAAATTAGACATGCCCTGTACGCCTCGTTAATGCATTGAAATATAGCTAAGGTCAACATGTGTGCAGCAGTTTCTACGTCCGAAATATTCTGTTTAGATCTGGTGGTATCAGCAGCTCCAGGCATTCATCGCATCTCGATCTTGTTCACATCCACGGTAAGCGCAGCGTAAAGCCGTGGCTGTACATTTAGAGTGTTATAGCCCATGCAATGCAACGTTTTGGTTCTATTAAAATCTGCAGACGTAGATGATGATTATTTCCGTGCGCTATGCGTGGCCTGCTTTTAGATGTGACCGCACGCTCAGCGGCGAAGACTGATGGTGGTCACGCTGTTTAGCGAGCATCTGTTGAGGCACACGTGTCAGAGTGCGTGGTGACGGAGCAGCGATACGCAAGTAGAACCAGATCGCCTTTGTCTTCCTCGCAACAATATTGACAAGGCCTCACCCGGTGCTCATTTTTTTGCTGAGTAAACCTACAGGAGGCACAGGCCAGGCTCCGATATGAAATTTGCACACTGGTGCAATGTGATGCATCACGGAAAAGGCATTGCACTTGGGTGTTCAGCATGGTGACAGTGTGTGGAACATTGCAACATTGCTTCACACGTGTGTTGCTTTTATTATTTAATATTGTTCACAAGGCAACGGGACTATTCGCCGACGAGCAATCTTGTGATTTGCCATGATTTAGGCTCACGATTACATTCAAGATTTGACTATTGTATTTTTCTCCTTTTGTCTGGTTTAAACAAATAAAATCTGACTTTACGATTTTATTCACTCCTCTATCCTGAACAGGATACAATTGGCCATATAAGTTACATCATCATCAGCCATGATCAATCCACTGCTGGATTAAGGCCTTCCCAAGCGGCCACCATCTCTCATGATTCTGCAATATAATAACGTACACAAATTGTAAATAATTGATTCTAGTATTCATGATTATAAGCATGCATTGAGCAATAATTGATACATCTATAATTACACACCTAATCTGCACGCACGTATCCACTGACACGTTTTGCTGTTCCATATACAATGTGTAGTCTGACTGGGATTAATCAAAATTTCACATTTTATAGAGGTTAGGATGTATGTTTATGTCAATTCCTTGATGTCGAAATAATGTGAGGATTGTGCCAAGAAAGCTTCGCTGAGTCTCACGACTCTTTCTCAAGCGGGTTGTGGATTCGGACGTTTGGTCCAATTCAGTTCACGACAAAACCCCGCAGCAGCCGGAGAAAACCCATCGCGCGCATTACAAGTAGAAGGAATAACCACTCTCCGTCTCCGCACGGATGGATTAAATTCACTCGGTGTCATCGCGGTCACTGTGCAGTCCAGTCGAAGGGGTCCAGATCGGAGGGGGCGGGCGTATAGAAGATGTATCGTGCGTTGTCGCGATCCACCAAACCTCCCATCAAAAGTGCTGGGTCACAGCAGATGTTGTGTCTCCTTTCCGGGCTCGAACGATCACTTTAAGTAATTATTCATACGTGCGCGCGTGTGTGTGTGTGGTGTATTGTGACGGCCTAGTGCTTAGTGCACTACCCGGTGACTCGAGTTCAATTCCGGCTCACGACGAATAAACAATGACGATTATATGAACCGGTCTTGGGCCTCCCCTAGGTCGTCTCAGCCTCAACAGTACATGGTGTGTTGCGTAAACATCGCCACTTTGGAGACAAAGGCGTCCGGGTTTGGTATTGGCCACTCACCCCCTCGTGTGCCGTCTTGGCTCTCGTAGGTGCTGGGTAGCAGCACTTGCCCCCACAGTCTGTTCAGGCTATACTGGGGTGGGGGGGATCTTTGTCTTTGTCTGTTTTTGTGTATTGTGATACACACGCGCACACACGCGCGTGCATAATTTATGGATTTGCACAATGAGCGGCGGGGACCCACTTTACGGCCGGGCTCGCGGTGTTACCGGATTAATTATTGGGACGCGACTTAATACTGCGCCTGACTGAGCACGGCTCATCCCGGCACCTCCGACTAGCACGGTTGGCTTCGTACGGTGCGAAAGAAGTCCAACACACAGACATACACACACAGACATACGCACACCCCGGCTACGACTCTCTCCCGTGGACTTGCACCTCGCTTGTGTTAATCATTGATGAGCTATGCGAGTCCTGAATCATCGTCGTTATCACGGTGATAATCGTTATCACAACTGGTTTGTAATTTAATTGTCATCGTTGTTCGTCGTCGTTATCACAACGATGACTAATTTAAGTTACAAGCCATCTCGAGAATCATGTAATAATCTGCCACGATGGCTATGAGATGTTAACTACCTCGCCTGGTATACAGGAGGTCGTGGGTTCGATATTATTTTTGGAGTTTGCGTGTCTCTCTCTACGTGGTCGCGTGGATTTTTCTCGGGGTCTTCCAGGTTTTCCTCCATAATTAGAATCAACATCGCGACTTTAGAGTATTTGGCTGCTATACATTTTGACATGATAAGCCACTTTGCTGAGCGATCATTTATGGCTCGGTGGCCCTTACCGGGTAAAACTTAACATTGTTTAGCTTTAGTTTAGTTATCTGCTTTTAAATAATCACCAGTTGTGTCACTAATCGTAATGAGTTATTGTCAATCCTTCTCAGTTTATAACCATGAGTCATTCCATTCATACTTGTTTTAATCATCTCCATAATCATGACTTATTTCAATAAAAATCATCATCATC